GCCAGAGGAAGAGGAGCTGATCTGCAGCGACTGCCTGCTGGCGGCTCACGCTTGCGGGTTTGAAGGCAGCTCTTCTGGGCTGGAGCAGAGCGCAGCACGCGGGGCACACTGAGCTGCAGCCCAGACCCCCAGGAAGGACTTTACCTCCCGTCTTCATGCAACTGCTGCAAGCCCCCGTGCGCCGAGCCCCTTCCCGCTGATGCCCTGGCTCACCGTGATGACGCCTTTCTCCTGCATGCGGCCCGGGGTGTCGTGCAGGTCGGCGAAGTGCACGGCCACCTGGTAGTATATGGGCAGAAGGAGCTCCTCCCGGGCCTTGAGCTGCTTCTCCAGTTCCCTGCGCTGCGCCTCGGACAGCTCGGGGGTCCCTGTGGGACACACCGCGCTCAGCAGCCTGCCCGCTGCCCCTGTGACGGGGCTCCCTAGGCCACCCGGGGGCTGTGCTCCGCTCAGTGCTCCTACATCAGCCACCCCTGCCAGGAAACGGGGCGCCCAGCATCACGGCCCTTGGCTTTGCACATTTACACCCCTGCCCAGAGCCCAGCCACAGAAGGCCATGGCCACGAAGGGGCCGCGCTGTGTTCTGCGCCAGCCGCAAGGGAGGTGGGAGGTGGCCTTTGCAAGGACTTTGTGGGACCATGTTTTAGCAGTGTGGAGGGGCATAGGGCCAAGGACCTCCCAACGCAGACCCACCATCTGCTGCTGGCAGGAGCCGATCACAGGGTGAAAGGAGACCCAGGGCATTAAAGGCAGCCTCTGTGCAGCTCTGTAATGACTATGTGTCATCTCATCAGGTACTGATTCAGCATGGCCATCGCTATCCTTCATCTCAAAGCATGGGAGTAAAGTCCAGCACCATTTACGGAGCCCCCAGGAGATGCAGGTATTTTAAAGTTCCACCCTTGGCAGGCTCGACCATCAGAAAAGTCATAAAGAGTTTCCACAGAGGAACACTAAAGGATTTCCTGACAGTTGCCACCATGGTGTTTGAGCCTCATGTTTTAACTTGTCGTTACCAACGCCCACAAGTCAAAATACCCTTCCCTTACCCAGCTGCTCAACGAGCCTGGCATAGACCGTATCGATCCTTCTCATGGTCTTCACCAAATCTTTCTTCCTGAACTTGATCTCCACTGTTCCTCCAGGCTCCAAAATGCCTCCCCTGGAAGGAAAGTTTGGTAAAGCAGGGACCAGTCTGCATGGAAAAATAAAACCTGGGACAAAACATCCAGGCAACTCCCTCTTTTAAGAATTAGGGAGGGAGAAAACCTAAAAGGGTTTTGTTCCCAGTCTGGGACTCTTGTCTATCCTCCCACTCCTTACAGCTTGCTCCAGTATGCATTAATTAAGGTTAGGGAAAATGCTTCCTGTCCTGTAGAAGCATGATTTACTTGCCTACAGCCTTTGCTGGATGCAGATACCCCCACGGAGATACCTGCCATGCTGCTCTGCAAGAACCCTGGAACTTCTGGCTGATGGCTTTGATTAACCAAAGGGTAAAAAATACACATCTCAACTGACCGGAGGCCCCTGCCAGCGGGACTATGACTCTGCAGACCCCATGCACCGGCTGTCATTTCTCTGCACACAGGCTGCGGAGGACACACATGTATTTTGGACACTGACCTGCTCTCCTTGTCTGCGTAGAGCTCTACATACAGAGGGTTGATGGTGGAGTCGATGACCACCCAGGAACCTCCCCGCAGCTCCGCGTGTGGCGGGATATAGACCAGGACAGGCTGCTTGAAATCCCGGAGGCTATCGACAATGAAGGCACCGAACTTCAGCATTTGGTCGTACATGTCTGAAAGCCAAAAGGACTCAGAGGCTGGGCGCCCCGACTGCTGTGGGCCCAGCTACTGCCCCTTGCCTCCTCCCAACCTTTTCAGTCTAGCTGCCCAAAGCCACCTTCTTCACTGGAGAGACCAAACAAGCCCACCAAAAACAGCCCAGAGGAAGCCACCAAGCTCCGGGACCTGGGTCCTGGCAATGCCCCATCACCTCCCCAGCCCAACCCACATCCCAAAGTGGTGTGGGCAGGTCCTTGGTAGGCTGGGTCATCCCAGGACCCAGGGGTGGCAGGAGTGCTGGCAGTATGGCATGGCATGGGGATCTGGGCACCCCGAGTGTGGATACCTTTCATGCCACTGGAGAAACCTCTCCAGTTGGCGAAGATCATCAGTGGGAGATGCTCCCGGTTGAAGTCCCGAATAGCCTGGGCCGTTTTAAAAGCAGAGTCTGGAAACCAGACCTGCCCGGCTTGCTGGATTATCTGGAAAAGACGGTCGGCAGCAGCGTTGAGACTGGTGCCGGTGCTTCCCAGCACACTGCACTGGTGGGTTGGCAGGACATGGTGTAAAAGAGCTGAAAGAAAACAAACTGACCGTGCACCCTTGATTTCACCAGTCTTTAAGGAAAATCAGGACATGCCAAAGGGTTACACCAAGCTTTTTCCCCGCTCCCCCCTCCAACCTCCTGCTGCTGCTTGGCCGCACTATGGTCTCCCCACGCACCTTTGCCTCCGAGTCCAGGTTGGCAGGGTCCGCGGGTATTGTCACTTCCACGGTGCGCGTCTCGACAGCGATGACACCCACGGGGAGACCTCCCAGCCTGCAGCAAGGCCCAATAGCCTCAGCAGAGGCCAGCTCTCCTCCACACTGCATCCCAGCCCCACCAGAGAGGTGTTCCCCCTCCATCATCCCAAAGGCAGTGCCACAGCCAGGGCTGAAGTGCATTTGGCCATGCACGCAGGCTCCCCGCATCACCCTCTGCCCTAGGGCTCCATCCCTTGCTCCCAGTAGTACCTTGCTCTGCCAACGACGACTGTCTGAGCCCACGGCCTCATGATCTCCAAGAAGCTGCCCTGGTCAAAGAAGCCGCTCTGCCAGGTCCCCTTGAGAGCTGCAGAGCACAGGGAAAAGTGAAGCAGTGCGACAGTGAGCGCTGAAGGGCTCTCTCTGCACCGACCCACCACAAAAAGCACCTTCTGCATTGGGATGGGGGGGTTGCAGCCACAAGATGGTTTTGGGAGCATTGCTGCAGAGGTCTCGGGCTGCTCTCACTTACTTGGATGGGGTCTCCCTGCCAGCATCCATCTGGGGTCGTAGGGGACTTTGGAAGGGACAAAATCAATTTCTCTTTCGATGGGGTCACTTACGGCAGTGACAGGCACCGGGCTCCGGTTATCCTGCAACGGAGAGCCCCAAAGGGCAGGTCACCAGCCAGGTATGGGGTAACACCCCACACCACTGTCCTGCAGCACCCTTCTACCTTGGGTATGAACGAGAGCCACTGCAGGATGGTGTAGACCCCCTCGAAGTCATCTGGGACGGTGACATGGGAAACACCATTATTGTGCATGATCTGCACGCCTCCCAGCTGGTTATTTGATGTGTAAACTTCACGCCCCAACACCTAACCAGAATTATTAACAGAAACAGATTGGTCTCTGCTAACACAGGAGCTGCTTCTCCTTGCTCTGTTTGTTAAGTCAAACCTCTGTACAGGCACATTCCTGC